AAATTTTGTGTAAAAACATGGATGGGATCAATTTTTTCATCAGCGCTCAGGGATCAAAATACGACAAGAATATAGGGATCAGTGGGTCCCGGATATACCATGTTACGACCCTGCCATGGGTCCGAATCCCGTTGAAGTCCCGCAATTTTTTTATCAGGTTAATTTGCAATCACGTCTTCATTTTAAAAAATTCGGTAGATGTTTGTCCAGATAAGTTACCCTTTCTTCACCCTTTTATTTGTTAAATTGGCAGAAGAGAATGAGTTTGGGATAGTTAAAATGATTTATTTGTGGTACTTGTATATTTCAAAACGGTTTTTATTTCAGTAACACTTTTAAAAATCTCTCCTGTGAAAATACTTAGCCTTCAAATGGTCTGTTAAGGTTTGATGAAGGCATGAATCGGTTTCGGTTTCTAGATATTAAAACACCTTTCAGCTGATACTTGGAAAGCTAACCATTATATTGTAGGACTTCTGCATAAGATGCTAATCTATGAAATGTTTGTTTTTTAAGGCGTCGACGCCGCCGTTCGCACTCACGATCAAGGTCAAGTTCCCCCGAGCGCCGAGAACGCAACAGCCGAGTTGAACGAAGCCATTATATTTATTGTAAAAGCAGGCGAGAAAGAGAACGGGAACGATCACGTTCACGGGCCATGCTAGCCATCCCCCTCACGGCCAGGTCGGCATCGCGCCAGCCGAAGCTGCTGCTGAGTAAAGTGATAAAGAAGAAGGGCGGGCAATACAGAGCCGCTCACCAAGCCCTAACTAGAATTTAAGCATTGTCAACAACTGCAATAGTTTCTTTGTAGAATTAAAAATTGTGGAACTTGAAAGTGTGGTACATTAGAGACATTTAGATTCTAAGACGAGTACTCTCAATACTAAGTAGGACTTGCGCGTGAGCCAGCACCATTTGGGCGGGAACACGTGATAGTCGTCGTCATTCTACTTCGAGTTTTAGCGAGAATGTCGTAGTGGTGGTAACAACTTATCAAATGTTAGAAGTTTTGTTGTTGCATGTGCGCTTGGGAGAAGGCTTAACCTCCGTCATTGAAAATAACAGTACTAACTTTTCTGGTGAAATAAGTGCCTCGAAGCTTTCCGGGATATCTATTCAGTTTTTTTTAGCTTTTTTGAGTATCCTTGAAAAAGGTAAAAGTCAAATCTCGTACTCGTTGTCGTTCTCGATCACGAATCTAAAGGTCCAGATAGAAGCTCCTCTGCTTAAGGTCTCTAGGGGCATCCTAATAGCCCGACCGACCCATTTGTTTCGAAAAGTAAAAAAAAAATCCGGATTCACTAGTCAAAGAAGTAAGTACTTTAATTTGCAAGCACACGATCTTGTATTATTAATAGCAATTGGTATGATGTGATGTCCTTGTCTTAAATTAACATCGATACTACGTTTTTAAAGGCTGTTTAGACATTTGATAGTCGAAAAGACCACGTTTTCTAGGCTTGAAGGTTATCATTAGATCCCATCGACCGTAGCCCCTTCGGACCCCTCAGGAAATTTACACAACGTAGTTTTCCCCTTTACTTATTAGGGTTAAAGCACTGCCTTTTAGTCTAATCCTAATTCGTGACGGAAATGTCTAATCCTAATTCGTGACGGAAATGTCTAATCCTAATTCGTGACGGAAATGTCTAATCCTAATTCGTGACGGAAATGTCTAATCCTAATTCGTGACGGATTACCTATTAGGGTTAAGCACTGCCGTTACTGACTAGGGTTAAGCACTGCCTTTGCTGATTAGGGTTAAGCACTGCCTTTACTGATTAGGGTTAAGCACTGCCTTTACTGATTAGGATTAAGCACTGCCTTTACTGGTTAGGGTTAAGCACTGCCTTTACTGATTAGGGTTCTTCGAAACTGGTTAGGTTCTTTTTTGGGGGTTGGGGTTGATGCCATATGTACTAAAATTATTTTACTTCCATCCAGCAAATCCTCAGTGGTCTAGTGGTTAGCGTAGTGTACTAGACCATCTGGGTCGTGGGTTCCAATCCTACCCTCTTTTGTATCAATTTGTTTTTTCTTTCAAATTGAAGAGACTTGCACTTTCATGAACATTTCTAGCTTGAAATATCATCTAAGAAAAACAGAAAACAGTTCTACCTTGTGTAAATTTCATGAGCGAAGAAAGGGGCTACCGCTGATGGCTGACCCCTTTTGAAGGAGCGTGCGCCTGAGCCTGCGTTTACCGCCGCATACCATGGTAAGTGCGCAGTCATTTTTCAGCCCTGCTCGGACCCTGCTGGATTAGCCTGTTCCAGGCGTTCAGATAGTGGGGAGCGTTGCGAAGTAAAAAGGAGTGCGAAAAAATAAAAGCGAGTCCCCCTCTACTTTTCATCGCTTTCTTTACTTCGCACGCTCTCCACTATCTGAATGGATATCCCACAGGGATGTCCCGTCGTTTTTTGGTCACGTGGTCGTTACAAATTAAGCCGAGTGGCTCTGGGGACGAGAATGAGCCTAAGATTGTACAGCTACTTCAGCTTCCGTCTTGGCTTCCGTCACTTCAGCGCGTACGACTCTTTTTTGAATTGAACGAGGGAAAGCCTCGAAAAAAGTGTATCAGGAGCTGTTTAATATTAACAAAAAAGGAGGAATGTGGACGAAAAGTGCCTTTGGTGACTTGGAAAATCCCTAAACTGGTACAAATCCTAAAATAGCATCACCGCCATAGCTACGAGGCAAGTTTTTGTAGTTTTAAAAGTTCTTTTCTGTTCATTGTACAAAGCACAAAGATTTTTACATAGCCGTGACCGCTGCCGTGGTCTGCCTAGTAGTAGAGGCTCATAGAGCATCATTGACACGCTTGCGGCTCAAAGAGATCGATCGTTCATTACGCCCCAGGGAGGGGTGGGGATTTTGGTGTCGAGTAAAAGGTTAATTTTGTGAGTCGATTTTGAAAATGTACGGAATGTGAGGGGGTTGAAATTTTAAGACTAGAAATTAGCAGTACATTAAAGAGTTGTTAAACCATATTATAATTGAAGCCAATCGTAGTTTCCTTTTTATAAGCTGTGTAGTTTATTTTCTTTCCTTTTGAACAGCACATAATGCCCCAGGGGTGGAAATACAGGGGGATAGATTGGATTCTCTGCCCCTGGGGAGGGGAAAATTCATGACATTGTTTTAGTTTGAAGGGTCGGGGAATTGCAAATTTTGTAAAATTGCGGATGGTAACCACAGGGATTTATATCGCAAAAAGGGTTTTATAAAAGGAGAAACATTACGTCTTTCAAGAACTAATTTTAACTAGAGAAAACTTTGAACAAAGCAAACAAGACCTTGAATGAGGCTACCCTGTAAGCTCGTTCAAGAAATACTGACTGAAGTTAAGTTCAGGGATGGAGACGATGCTCTTCGTAACAAAACAAAACAAACAAAAGAGATTTTACCATTTGTTGCTACCTACAATACCTACAATCCGGCCACACCAAATCTCAAAAAGATTCTCATGAAACACTCAAGTCTATAAGTTATCTTAAATCATCTATGGAAAAACTATCAGTCTCTCCTACCCTCAGTGAATCTGTCTTCAGTTGTTCTTTCATTATAGTTATTTTTGTTCAATGAAGATATTGTATTGCTTTTCCAAGCCCAACACGAATGAGTAAAATTTCATCCCCAAATATCATAAAAACGCCCCCTCTGTCAAGTGAATCCTAGTTATATGAAGTGTATCAGGGGGATTTTTCGTTGAGAAGCACTTAACCCAGGGGATTTTGTATTATTAAATTCCCCCATCCCTAGGGGAAATCCTTAACTTTGCTCCACCCATTTTACAATCCCACTGGTTGGCCCAGGGGTCTACCCCCGGGGCAAGCCGATGACATGTGCATAAGACTTATATTTATCCACATTTATCCCCTGTTCAAGTAAATGTTTTTTTTCACATTAAAGTCTCTCCTCCAAAATTAATGTTCTCTTGACTCTTGTTTTTGTCAATTGTCAATTACCTTCTTAAGTTGACTTTTTCTATTTGCTGCTGCTTGTCATGAAAGATATTAATCATCCTGGGTAATGTGTACTTAAAGGGTTTAGTTTATTTTTTGTCTCACAATTGTATCTTTGATATTTATTGCGTTGTTTTGACCGCACACGTGCACTCTAGCTACAGGTCTGATCATCAGGGGATGGTGTTGATTTACTGAGTCGGACCATTAATTTTGTACCACGGCTTTCTGCTTGTTACAGTCAAATCGGGAAAACCATGAACATATCTGGAATGTTATTTTGTTGCAAGAAAAAAACGAATCAGGTGTGAGAAAACTAAGCTGCTAGCAAGAACCTTAATTATTAGTTTGTGGTTGTGTGGCCAGTTCACACACCCTGATCTTTGCAGTGATTGGTCATAACACAATAAACATTCCTGAGATTATTTCAAGTGTTTACTGTTTTCCCGGTCACACCGTACTGTAAGGTGCAGGCAAACAAGGTCTTCTCCTTCCACCAAAGCATTCTCACACCCATTTGCTGTTTCAAAAATATTTTTTATTTGTCTTTTGGTGAGGTCATGCAACTACATACATGTAAATGTAGGAGCAAGTGTAACAAAGGGCTACATGTAGAACAGTCTGCAGTATGAATGGAAATAATTATGAAATGACTCATATTTTGAACTGTGGATAAAGATGTGACCTTTGACGGGGAAACATCACTTACGGCTTTCCATTAAACAGGTGAAACGCACCAACACCAAATACTATTTGGTTGCCAAATTGGAAGAAAATCTCACCACAATTTCAAAACACTGCCAAAACTGCTGCTATTTTCTGCTATTTTGTGATTGACATCCCCAGTCATAAAATAATAGCAAACATCTTCCAGATTTTGTCAGTGCCACATAGCTGGCTTAAAAGAATTTAACCTTTTCAGAACAGAGATTATTTTGCCTGAATATACTGTTTAATTTTGCTAATAGCTGTTTTTGTTCATTTTAGTTTTAGGTCATTATTAAAAGCAAGACTGTCTCAAAAATTTTAAACATGGAGCATTATTCTAGTACAAATCTGAAAGCTTATATTAAATATGAAGGTGGAGTTGCAATTTTGGATCTGAATGGCAGAGGACTATCCAGTGTTCCTGATGCAGTTACTGAACTGAGTAAATTGGAGAAACTTAGGCTGGATAAAAATAACCTGATCAAACTACCAACAAGTATTAACAAGCTGAAAAATCTTACAAAGCTTGATTTAAAGCATAACCAATTAACCAAACTACCTGCTGAGATTGGTGACTTGAAGGAGCTGAGGGAGCTGTCTTTGAAACACAATCAGTTGGTTGGTTTACCTAGCAGCATACAAAAGCTGAACAAGCTTGAAAAGCTGAACTTGTATGGTAACAAACTGACAGAACTATGTTCTGAGATTGGCCACCTGAAAGAGCTGTGGTGGCTGAGTGTGAGTTACAACCAATTAGCTGGTGTACCACCCAGTACACAGAAGCTGAAACATCTTGAAGCACTTTACTTGTGCGGTAATAAGCTGACAGAACTACCTGCTAACATTGGTGACCTAACGGAACTGAGGGTGCTGTCTTTGAGTAACAACCAGTTGGTTGGTTTGCCTACCAGTATAAAGAAGCTAAACAAGCTTGAGAAGCTGGACTTGTTTGGCAACAAACTAACAACACTATTTGAGATTGGCGGCCTGAAGGAGCTGAGGGAGCTGAATGTGAGTAACAATCAGTTGGTTTGCTTACCTACCAGTATACAGAAGCTGAACAAACTTGAAGTGCTTTACTTGGATAAAAACAAGCTAAGGGAACTACCTTCTGAGATTGGTGACTTGAAGGAGCTGAGGAACCTGAGTGTGAGTAACAACCAGTTGGCAGATTTACCAACCAGTTTACAGAAGTTGAACAAGCTTCAAATGCTGTACTTGAGTGGTAACAAACTTGGGCACTTACCTGGAGCAATAAGATGCATTCTGAAGTTAAAAAAGCAAGGAACATTTGTAAAAACTGACATTGCAGGTGAGCAGAGGTATTATTTTAATGATACCAAAATATGAAGCTCAATAGGTCGGGGGGAGGGAGGGTACTCAACAAATTTTTACACAGGAAGGCTCTGCCCTGATGGAGGACCAGTCCCTTACCCTTTTTTATACCATTTTTTATGAAAAAGGTACCCTTTCGTATACCTTCTATTGACAAAAGGTACCCCTTTCACATATCTTGTTTAGAACTTTGCATCCCTTTTAACTGCTGCTGCATTGTCGTTTAAATAGGAATCAATCACAGAAATGGAATGTTTTCTCGACTTTTTGAAACCATTTAGCACTTTGAGCCCTTTCACAGACCCAAATGACAGATTTCACTCCCCTTTGGTATACTTCAATGAGTAAAATCCCTAACCCTTTCATATACCTGAAGCCTGAAAAAGGTACCCCTTTTGGGTGGAGCCTCAGTCCCCATATAGGCCATTATAGGGAGTAAACCCCACCCCCCACCCCCCTGGCATTAGGTTTATGTGCATTATTGAACAACTCTGAGCTTTAATTTGAATTGTTGTCTTTCAACTTTGTTAAAGGAGAAAAGCATTGAGACTTAACAATAATTAAAACTTCAATGACAGGTTCAAGGGTAAAATGTTAATGGACGCTAGAATTATATGTGTTGTAGTTTATTTTTTATCTCAGGTAATTTTTATTTTTCTTTTTTTTCAACTTCTTCCACATATTATTACCATACCCCAAAACAAAAGAAAAACAATAATTACCAAAAATAAAAAAAATTAACTACAACATATACAGTACAACTCCAGTACATGCGTTCGTACTTAGTTTGCTCATATCGTCACGAATGAACTTCGAGTGATGAGTCAGGTTTGAGTCAGGCAAAGCATTACATTTTTCTTTTGGAATCACCTGAAGTTCTTGTTTTAAAATGCTTCTTCCCTTATGATTTTTACCTAATCTGATATACAAATTTTAAGCCATGACAATTGAGCTATCTCCTGATGATGCAGATTGCGGAGATGTCAACCTCTGTGGAATTAAAATGTGGAGTATGTCTCCTTTAATTGTAGTACCCCTCATTAATCAATCCCAACTAATAAGCACAGAAGAGAGCGAAGTTTGTGATGTCAATGACAGATTTTCTAAAAGTATAGTGTTGAAAAACTGAATAATTGTGGAATTTTTTGTTTGACACCCAAAATTAGTATACAGCTGCAGTATGACAATACTGTAATATCACATGAATGGCAAAATGTTTCTCAAGCCAAATGACCTCTAAGGCCAGTCACATACTGTACCGACTGTGCTTTGCAGAGATTCAAGCAAGCTAAGGGGATTTTACTGATTTGATACATGTATCTAACATGCATAGTGTGTGACTGCTAACATAATGATTGCAATGTTTTGGTGGACACAACCTTTAAGACAGTACATTGCATTCCTTTAAGTTCCTACAGAAATAGAGGCACGAGGAGAAAGAGCCCAGTTTGTTTATCAACGTGCTCTTAGAAATGGAGCCGTCAATGTTTATCGCGCTCGAGTGTTGCTTCTTGGTCAGGATCGAGCAGGGAAAACCAGTTTGAAAAATTGTCTCATTGGTCTACCATTCAATCCAAATGAACAAAGTACTGAAGGAATTGAAGTTGATCTGTCAATCTTTCAAGTGGGTGTGAACGAAGGTAAGAATTGGCAAGCCACTGATGAGAGCAAACAAGGGTTTTTGGGATGTTCCAAAGATGTGGCACAGATGTTGGTGGAAAAGCTGTGTATTCCAGCCAGCCATGATTGGGTTGAAGAAGAGGAGGAACGTAAAGAAAAACGTGAACTTGAAAATGATGATTACAGGAAAGAAAAACAGCATGGTGATAGTGATGGCAAAAAGGACAGTCGTGGCTTATTTGTGAACCAGGTTTGCAAATCTACATTTAACTCCTCACATTTTATGAATAATACTAATATCACATCTCACTAACTTTACATGTATGAAGCAGGTTGACCTTATGGTGTATTTCAACATGTAATACAGTAAACACCCGCGATCAAAAACCTAAGATAATAAATTGTTGATTACCAAGAAAATAAATATAAACTTGGGTTTGGGCCTTAAAAATACAGTATTTATTCACAATTTTTTATTACTGTAACCCTAACAAACTGATTACCGAATTTATATACAGTTTGGTACAGTATGATCTTGTTATACTGAAATTTTTACAATCTCAAAGTTGCACTCCTTAGTTAAATTGTTGATCATAATAAATTTAACTGTAACCCACATATAAGAACCTGCTTGATCTTGTTTGACTAAACGGGTTCTTGTATTTTTGGGTATTTAAGTGGCAAATTTTTGCCGGGAGGTTCTTAATCCGCTGGGTTCATAATTATTCGCGGGTGTTTACTGTACTACACAGCCAATTTCTCAGTGTCAGCATTGAGAAAAGGTGTTCCTACTGATATGATGTGAGTTAATAAATTACTTTCGTATAGCTAATTTAATGCATTGTCCTTTCAACAGGTAGTCTCTGATAACTTAGTATCTGATTTGTGACTGAAATCTCTGTAACATGCCAAGTTAAATTCTCGGCCAGGCTCGGCGAAAAGAACGGCTGAGCCTAATTGATTCGGACGCTGAACTTTTCATGTACTTAATTCATTAGGTTCGGCTCACGAAAAGTTCGGCGTCTGAACCGGGCCTAAGGAACATGTGACTTTAGATACATATTTCTTCCAATTCACAAACTGAAACAGCTCTTGAAAGGTAAAGCATGTCGGTACGATGCATTTACAGTTAGATGCAACAACACTGGTCACCCTAACAAAGGGAAAAGCATGCTTAAAATCCTGTTTTCAATTGTCTGAGTTAGAGTGATTTTGGTATGACCTTGAAAAATGGTTTCGGTCAGTGTTCGCTATTTGTTTCATCAGCCAATGGATGAAAAGATCAAAACGTACTCTTCGTTTTCCCGCCAAAGAAAACCCTCATATGGAGAAGGCATTGTTCGATTAGCCAATCGTGTTGCAGTATGACGTCAAAGCGAAGTATCGATTGATTTCTAGAAAGTTCTTCGGGCATTGAGTTTTTTCAGCCGAGCGTTCGCTTAACCAACCAAAAGCCACGCGCGTTTGTATCCGTTCGATAAACCAATCAAATCGCTCCGTTGGTTTTTTTTTCTATTTTGTTCGCGCGTTTTCATTTCAAGGTCATACGAAAATCGCTCAAAACCTTAATTATGACGTCTCGTATGATCCTGTCAATTTCTTGGTTAGTGGAACAGGTGTGCCAATGAAATTTAGACTCAATTTTTTTGAAAAAATCCCCTTTTGTTCCAAATGCAAATTATTTTCGAAGAAGGTCTTGTAGTAATGTCCTCTTTCAATTGAAATAATAACACTTTTTCAGTTTTATCACAAATTTTGTTAAGTTACCGCATTTATTAGATTAAACACCACCCTCAAATAAACGCCGCCCTCGATTAAACGGCGCAGATGGAAGCAAAACTACCAATAAATGCCACCCAGGAATAAACGCTGCACCTCATCAAGAAGACTGCGGCGTTTACTCGAGGATAATAAGAAAAAACTTGGTACAACTTGGCAATTTACACCATCCAGACATTTACGATTCTATCGCAGCAAAATAAGCCTGAGACATTGGAATCTTTCAATTACATAATATTTACAAACGAATTACAATAACTGTTGTCAGTGATTTTAAAAAAGTGATTTCGAAATAAACGTCGCCCTCGAATAAACGCCGCATCGGAAACGCTAAAAAGTTAATAAACGCCGCGGCATTTAATCGAATAAATATGGTACGTTTAAATGTAATTGGTAACAGAACTTTGTGCCGTCCAATTCGGTCTGTAATCATACTCTTGATTAAACAGATTGGACTTCTGCCTGCAGTCATCTTATTTTGTTATTCGCTCGTATTGTGACAGACTGAATTGGACTCCATTCAATCCTATTACCATTATAAACGACTCTAGCATTTCCCTGGCTATATGTGATACGTTGGGATCCTGATTTTTCGAACCACCCAGGGAAAAGCAAATTGGTTTAAATTATTGCGAGCTTTGAAAATCAGAGATAAAATTACAGTGTATTGTGAAACAACCTTAACCATGATAAAGAGCAAGCAAGAGTTTTATTTTACTTTTATTTTGACCTTTACATGTACAAGTAGGATACCTTAGGCATATAAAGCAAACACAAAATATTTACAGATATGTTGAATTGTAACCTGCTTGATATAAATTGAGCTGGTGCCATTCAATGAGCTGTCATCATTTAACCTCTTATTAATTCAGTTTCAGTGTTTTTGGTGTTTTAATAGTCATGCTTTCCAATTCCCCAATGTGCATGCCTCGATGTTTGAACTAAAAAAGGGTTCTTTTCTCATTTACTGATTGGGGTGAATTCTCTTTCAGAACTCACCATCAACAGCTAATTTCTGTTCTTTTTACCTGGCACTCTGTTTCAGGTTGATGATTCAAAAACACTTGGTTTTAGTGAGCTTACATCATCATTATCTGATCGAGAATTAATGGCTGATTCTAATTCACCTCCAGATGAGATCACAGAGCAAGCTGTTGAGTTGATAAAGTATATGGAAGGTGGAAAAAGTGGTAGTGAAAAATCTGTTAGCAGTATTGAACTGTGGGATTTTGCTGGTCAGCAGCTCTATTACGCATCTCATCCTGTATTTTTAACATCACGTGCGATATATATCTTGGTGTGCAACCTCAGCAAGTCACTGCATGACATTGCCCAACCCTGCGTGAGACAAGGAAATCATGATTTTATGTTGGAAAACCCAACCGGGGAAACGAACCTGGAGAATCTGCTATCTTGGCTGTCCACAGTGCATAGCATCACACAGATGAGAGGAGAGACTTGTGACGATGCAGAAGGAAAGCTGCCTCATCTTCGGCCACCAGTGATCATTGTAGGCACCCACGCAGACAAACCATTTGAAGACATTGCAACAATGAAATCAGAAATACAGAGGGCAATTGCTGGTAAGGACTATGAAGGACATGTGGTGCGGCCTATCTTTAGCATTGACAACACTGCAAGATCACTTCAAAGAAAGATCAAAAAGGTTTTCAGACAAGATAAACACATTGATCACATTCAAGCTCTACAGGACAGAATCATGGAAGTGCTAAAACAGGAGCCATACATGGGGGAGAGTATACCTGTGAGGTAAGTGGTTATATACCAGGGCCCGGTTTCTCGCACAATGGTTAAGTTTAACCCAGGATTAAGCCAAATTTTTAAATACGGTTTTCTTGTCCAACAACATTCAAGCTTACAAAATACTGTTGAGCCTTTACTCTGAGATAGAGTAATAATGATACAAAATATTAAAAGACAATTCGAGTCTTTTGAATGAGAATTTCTGGTGGAAGAATTTGGGATTTGAGGCCTTTGTTTCAGACCCAATAGGTTAATTCTGCCTTCAGTTGAAACGTTTTTTTTAGGGTTTTGAGACTGGTTTGAAACTGTTGGTCACTTTTTAATCTCGAAATTTTGCTTTCTGCACATGCCCGAGATTAAGAAGCTGATATTTTGCATCTTGAATAGAAGGCCGCAAAGCTCTCGACCTATAAACAGCATTTTGGGTAGTTTTGGTTCTTTATAGTCAGAAAGTGACCGGAAATCGGCTTGACTAGCTTCAAACGGCATTTTCGGAGAAATTCCCAGGAGCGAAAGAGTCAGAGAACTTACTATTAACTTTGGTGACTGAGACACTGCTCCTTTAATACAGAATTGACTGTGCGGTGCTTTAAACAGTGACCTCTTAATGTAGGACTATCTTGGCGATGAGTCAATGATGTGAAGTTTACCCTTCTGTTTTGGAATGTGTGCATGCTTTTGCACAAATAGTCAGAGCAGGTGCTTTTCTTAGTGACATCTATACACTATTACTTGCATTCCTTTTTTACAAACTAGGTGGCTCAACTTTGAGAAGGTCATCGATGCTTTGCAATCCAAGGACGTTTATCATTTAAATATAACGGAACTTCAAACCTATGCCAAAGATAAGTGCTTTATTAATGACGAGGAAGAGTTCACCACCATGGTGAATTTTTATCATGACATGGGGATAATAATCAAGCACTGCAGCACAGTCATTCTGAGTGCCAAGTGGCTGATAGATCTGTTCAGGCAGCTCATCACTATTCCACATTTTGATAAAATGGTAAGAAAAACGTTTATTGAATATAAACACCAGTGAAATACCAGGTGAGCTTTGATACGAAAACATGATGTCTTCACATGTGAAAAGATCACTGTTGCTATGGCTACATAATAAACCGCACCTTTCAAAGCAAAAAAATATATATTTAAGTGAAGTGGTTTGTTATTCATTGGTGTTTGTATTAATTTAACAATAGAAAACGTTTTCCTTGTTTACCTGGCCTGATGTAAACACGACAGGGGTTGGGAGCATTCGAGACACCTACGCAAACCCGTAACGAAGTCGAGGGTTTCATAACTGTCTCGAATTCTCCCAACGCCTCTCGTGTTTATATCAGGCTATGCAAACATAGGAAAAAACTTAACTATTGCTTTTATAAAATAACTTCCCCGAGAAAAACACAGAATGAGGCAAGGCTTTCTCTATGGGAGAGATTAATCAAGGGGAAAAGTGTTCTTTCCCCAACGCTGTGCTTTGCGTAAGTTTCTCGTGATAGGTCAAAACGCGCGTGATCAGATTGCGTTCTATGCATTCCGTTCATTCTTAGAGGAAGTCCATACGAATGCTGACTGCGCACGTGCCGCGCATGCGTAATAGCAACGTGGAGATTAGCACTGTGGCTTCCTCTGCTCGTCCGCAATTAGCTCTCGGCTTCCCGGATTCATTTGTAAACACTCTGTAATCACTCCTCAATTTATTATCTCTCAGGACCCAAAGGTTTCCAAGCACTGGGAGAAACTGAGAGAAAGCGGTGTCCTCAGCATGGAACTCGTTGAGCATGTGTTTTCCAAATTTCTTCTGAAGGACTTTGTCAGAGATGATATTCTAGACCTGATGGAGCAATTCGGTTTAATTGCAAAGTTCTCACCCCCTAAAACTGATGAAAAGTATTTTGTACCATCTCAACTCAAAGTGCCACCTGATTCCCTTTGTGCCATGGTACCCTCACGCTCAGACCCCTGTCCTCTATATGTCTTCTTTGTTACTGGTTTTGTCCCCCATGGCTTGTTCACACGGCTTGTTTCTCGACTTGTTAGCTGGTGTTCTGAGAGCGGTCCAAGTCAGCCCCCTACCCTGTACCGAAATGGAGCATGGTTCGTCATTGGGAGACGAACTGTCCATGATTTAGTTCTTTTCTGTAAGAAACAGTACATAAAGTTTTTTATCATGCAAAGATCCCAAGTTCTGCACGTCTCTGGAGATAAAGAAAGTGAAGTTGCAATTCAGGTGCGTGAGTTTGTGGGGGCAGCACTACAATCTTTGTCACAGGATCTGCTCTATCTACGTGGACTGCAGTACCAGATTTGCGTCGCCTGCCCATATTGTCCGCTGGAAAAGTGCACAGGTCATAATCAGCTGGCATGTTCACATGTTGACTGTCGTCATCTCCTTGAGATAAGACAAGGTGACCCACTTATTTGCAAAAAGAAGCCTTCAAACAAAGTATTAACAGTTGAGGGACTGGAAAAATGGTTCTCACAGTCAACAAGTCAGGTACTAATGAAATACAATCTCTAGCAACACTAGTGGCATAAAATTCACTGAATAGTAATATAACCTCGAAGGGTAATTATGTTAAAATTATATGGCACCATATGATGAGGCTTTAATCTCTATCTGATAAGATTGAAGATAATCTTTTATAGAATAATGTCCGATGTAGTGTGACTTCATTTGCTCTCCGACAAGGCTCTCCCTAGTGGAAGAGAAATGGAAAATAGGGAGGTTCACGTATCACGATTGTATCTATTGGCCTGAAGGTCTTATTGCGGTGTGCGCCCTTTTTTTTCACTCAACATGGTTTTGTTTTGCTACTTAAGTTAGCTTGCATAACAGGCGCTTTATGAGCTAAGCGAGGCGAACGCGGCATTTTGCAAGAATAGCCAAACGAGTGCGAAGCACGGGACGAGGGGAGGAAAAAGTAAAGCGCCTGTTACCGGTCCATTGTTCTGGCTCTTCCCACGTTCACTACATCAACGTTGCGTTCCAATTGGGTAATTGATGACGCGTTGTTGTGGCATGTTTGTCTGAAACAAAATAACCGTCACGCATTAGTGTTCTTTTGACGATGCTGTTTGAGAAGCCTTTCGCTTATTTCCAAGTGTTCCAGAACTAATATAAAAACAAAAGAAATGTTCAAATTTATTGCTTTAGAGGAAAGATGTTCATGGATTCCTTCCGACTAGGTAAGGCAAAAGCCTGATTTACTAACTTTTTGAAATTAAGTGTTGACAGGCCAAACACGACTCATAAGCTCGTGACCTTGGAATTTTTTTGAACAACACGTTTTCCCTCTTTCCTTTCTAGCCGCTGTGTTTGGACATAACTTAACTTTGACCGAGCAAATCTTCTGCCGCACTGAGTCATACATTATTGAAGGTGATTTTGCCTTCGCTGTTATTTCCTGTGTTTTATGCTGTTATCGGTGTTTCTGGTAGCGAGAAAGGTGACAATTGTTGAGTAATGGATCGTGTTTTGATTGGTCCTTTTGACATCACCGGCGTCAGTCAATACCTGTGGGTGTAGGTGGGCTGAAAAGCCAAAACAATTGACTGATAACAGGCGCTTTATTTTCCTCCTCCCCTTGTTTCGCGCAAAATGCCGCGTTCGCCTCGCTTGGCCCATAAAGCAGCTGTTATGCAGGCTATTCATAAGTTGACCTCATCTTTTATTTGATAGAATCAGGTTCCTACAAATGTTGATTCAAACGTTTTCTAGGCGCCACCCTATATAAAAGTGCTATTTTGAAATATGCATTTTGGTTTTCTTTCAGGAATTGCATTCACCCTTTTCTGGTAAAACACAAAGTCATGCACAGCCTTCAATCTTAAAAGTTTCCCTCCTGGCTAATGAGTGGGGTTCATCTAAGGGTGGCTTGTCAACAGTCAACAGAACGCTTGCCATACATTTGGCAAAACTCCCAAACGTACAGGTCACTCTTATTGTACCTCAATTTGAGTGCGGTGAAGATGACAAGAGAGCTGCCAAGGGTCACAACATTTCCATCATAGAAGCACATCGTCGCCCTGGCTTTAGTGATCCCCTTGATTGGTTGAGCTTTCCACCAAGAAACCTTGACATTCAGGTCGTGATTGGTCATGGTGCAAAGCTGGGTAAACAAGCTCAAATCATCCAAGAGTCTCATTGTTGCAATTGGGTGCAGGTAGTTCACACCGAACCTGAAGAGCTAGCCATGTATAAGAACTATCCTGGCGCAATTACCAAGGGAGAGGGAAAGAACAGAGCTGAAGTTGAGCTGTGCCAACTTGCAGATCTCGTTGTGGCAGTTGGGCCCAAGTTGACAGAAGCATTCTCGTCCTACTTGCGTTCATCTCATCAAGATGTATTCCAGCTGATGCCAGGCACCTTTAAAGAGTTTTCAGATGTTGAGCATGCTACTACGCGAGCAAGTGCGAAGTTCAAGGTGTTAACCTTTGGCCGTGGTGATTTTGAAGACTTCAGTCTCAAAGGATACGACATTGCCGCTCAAGCAATAGTTGAATTGAAGGACAGTTCGTACCGTCTGATCTTTGTTGGTGCACCTGATGGAAAGCAGGATGAAGTCGCGGAAATCTTATGCCAGACGGGCATTTCAAGAAACCAGTTGTTTGTCAGGTCATTCGTGAAAGACAAGCAAAGATTAAAAGAGTTATTTTGTGAAGTTGATGTGGCCATCATGCCTTCAAGGACTGAGGGATTTGGCTTGACAGCACTGGAAGCCATGTCAGCCGGTCTCCCCATTCTAGTAAGTGGAAACTCCGGATTTGGAGAAACACTGCGTTGTCTTCCAATGGGTATGTCATTTGTGATTGATTCGGATGACCCCAAGGAATGGGCAAAGGCAATAGTAGCTATCCAACAAAAATCTAGGGCACAGCGGCTTGAGGAAATCCAAAGACTTCGAAGAAGTTATGAAGAGAGATTCAGTTGGGAGAGACAGTGCAAATCCCTTGTTGTCACGATGTGGAAGATGGTCTATGGTAAGAAATCAAATTCTCACCCTAAGTAAAGTAACGATAATTTAAATGAGCAATTTTAGGATGAGGCTGAGTATGATCTGAAAAATTGTGTAGATCGTGGAGGATGCTGGCCGATATGGATAACACCCTACGAGATCTGCATAATTTTGCCCATCATTTGAAATCCCAATCCAATTATTGTTTTATTATCTATTCAATATAGTTCATACTTGAAAAACATGCCTACCTCGATCGATGTTAAGTTTCTGTCTTCAACTTTTTTCCAGGGCCTCTCAGTTGCCGTCCCCTTTTCTGGCGATATCCTATACTATTGACGTCATTTTACTGGATATCGCAAACGTCTTCCAAATTTGATCATCGCTAGCTGATTTTAAGGAAATAGCCGTGGGATTTGAGTCATTCTCATTATGTTCTGTTGAAACCACCGTAATTTAAAATGGTCAGTTGGTTTTTCTTTGGACCCGTGTTCTATCTCCCATAGAACGTTTTCACTCACGTGGCGTTTTACATGAGGTCGTGTGAAAACGCTATATTAAACTGACGTGAAATAACCTTTCGCATTTTGGATTTTTTCTCTTTATCATTTGCAGGTGAACTGGTTTTCCTTGCACTTCAAAAAATCAAGCTGGAAGCGCGTAGAGAGGCCAGCAAAACTGAGCTGTCGTTGAATTTAAAGAGGATTGCTTTGGAGAAAGGTTTTGTGATTTCTGACAATCAAGGGGATGGAAACTGCATGTTTTTTGCACTGTCAGAACAGCTTGAGCACATCAAAGGAATTAAAATCTCCCATGATGAGTTACGCCGAACTGTTGTCCAGTACCTCAAGGACAACCCCAGGCTGGTTAGTGTCCTGTTTTAGTGCCTTAAAATTATTTATCTCAGACTAGCAACTTAAACTGACCGAAGCAGAGAAGGGTCCAAGCATAAATGGAAACGGACGGGGGAGCATTTCCTTTTTTCGCCTCGGTCGTTAAGCTTCTTTTGCTTACGTTTGAAGAACCAGACCTGTGACTTGACTGAAATAGAACTTTGCCACCACGGTAGCTTTTTTCCTGCTCACTTCTCATTTGCGTTATCCGCACTATCTGAACGCTTATAGAGGCTAACGGACAGATAGAGTTGGTCTTCATCGTTCTTTCTTCATTTTGTTTGAAACTTTATAAGGCGGACACTTATTTACTACTAACGGTGTCTGTGGCCCAGGGGAGTACTCCCTATAATGGCCTATACGGGGAGGCTCCGCACAAAAGGGGTACCTTTTTCAGGCTTCAGGTTTATGAAAGGGTAGGGACTTTATTGGTTGAAGTATATAAAAGGGTAGGGAAATCTGTCATTTCGGTCTGTAAAAGGACTAAAAAGGGCTAACAGACGCATTTTATGGATGTAAAAGAAACAAGAAAACTTCCTGGTTTACTGATTTATTCATAAAAAAAGACGCTGCATTTACAGCAGTTAAAAGGGATGCAAAGTTCTAAACAAGGTGTGTATGTGAAAGGGGTAACATTTGTCAACAGAAGGTATACGAAAGGGGTACCTTTTCTGTCAACTATTGCACATATATTACAACCTTACAATATATGTGTTGCACACAAATCGATAACCACTTTACGACGACTGCTTACTAATGTCAAGGACAAAGACAAACCGGAGGACAAACAGGGAGCAGTATACAAGATCAAAGGCTTCTTACATTGGTGAAACCGGAAGAAACCTTAGCACGCGACTGACCTAACACAAACGAGCGGCGAGGAATGGTGACGTCAACAATCACATTGCTACGCACCATTTACAGACGAAACATCGAATTGATTAGGACTCTGCGACATGTATAACGTATTCTACAGACTACTTTCAAAGTCTTACTTTAGACAGCTGGTTTACTAACTTAGAAAAAACGCCACTGAATCGTAGCCAACAGTTAACAGCGCCGTACAAACGACTTATTGACGACTGTGACAATAGACGGATCGAAACGCACCAATTACTAATTACGAGTCTTCATAGCCAATAACATCACGGCTTAACTGACAGACGACCAACAACATCGCGACGTAATTGACCAATCAGATCAATAACCAGAGTATAATACCATCAACTAACGTGATAAACTCACTTTGACTCTAAAGATGACTACCGCACAGGTTGTCGATACGTCAGTCACTGTCAACAACAACAGTCCTATTCAGGAGTACGTTCACCTGGACGATCAAACTCAACCCTACTTTTGAAATGACTCCTGGGTTCAAACCTTTCACAATTTTCACAATGGTATATAAAAGGGTAAGGGGTTGGACGTCGGGGCAGACGGAGCTTCCCCATATAAAATTGTTGAGTACCCCCCCCCCCCACCTCCCCTTCGGGGGTCTGTGGTGGAGAGAGCTAACTGCGTGGTTTCCTGAATAAGAACCGTCTAGAAATGCGCTTTGTCGTCTCTCTAGTAACTACAGCATTCGTTCTCTTACAGCCGGATGGGACAGATCTCTTCCACTTTGTTGATGGATTTTCATCTTGGAACGCTTACCTCACAAGCATGATGGTAGATGGTACATGGGGTGATCACGTGATTCTGCATGGTGCTGCGAACTGCTTTGAAAGATGCATTCACGTGATAAGCAGTCTGCCGCATCACGATGACGTAATGATTTGCCCTGAGTATGATGTTACTAGTAACAATCGGCTTGTGCTGGGTCTTGTGCATGAGCTTCACTATGTCAGTCTTTTTCCACTTGAAGGATGCTAAGATGGCTAATTACTCTGCAATGTATTTATTTTCCAAACTCGCGTTACCAAATTCATGTCATTTGAATTTTAGCAGTTGCACCTTTCATTTGCCACATTATTTGCTGTGTTGTTGGCGAGAAACTTCTTTGTCCATTTATACAGTTCGAACATGATGGATACGTAACGATAATTCATCAATGTTATTGTGACGGAATAAATAGACGTTTAAATACGATTATTATTCATTCAAAATATTTCCCCGATTGTGATTGGCTAAAAGCACACGTTTAGTTCACCATGACCAGTTACTGATGACCAAATTTGGAAGAATTTTGTGTTTAGGGAGGAAATGACGTCAAAAATGCAGGGTTCTTGCAGATTAATACACCGTTAACCGAGAAGACCTGGGGACGAGGTTGAGTTGTTTTGGTTGTGAACTTTGAAAAATGGCGGACATTTCACTCGTTTCAAGAGTAAGAACTAGGCGAAAAAATAGCTAAAAACATGGCAAGAACAGCAAGAAGACAACTCGAAGGGCGACATCTGCTATTTGGAGAATATTTGCGGAGCTGAACAACCCTAAACGTGCACTATCAAAGATGAACTTAACATCGATCAGATCGATGGATCGATAGAGGTAAGCATGTTTTAGCCATGTTTTTAAACGAGGAATTATTGTGAATGAATAATAAAATAATTGTTCAATTCGGCTTTCGTATCATATGAAAAGTTATGGAGATCTCGAAATTCATTGGGGAAATTTTCTGTCTGAAAATAATCCTACACAGTCCCCTTAGGTAATATGAAAATCTACTTATTTATTTTGTTCACTCTATTCTATTCTAATAGGATTTAGTTGTTAAAGATCACATTGCCTGCAGTCACTCTTAGTAATAGGGAGCCTATGCACGACGACGACGGCAACGAGAACGGCAAAAAAGCAATAGGTTTAGATAAGCAAAACAACAACCTTGCACGTGCATCACGCTTTTTTGCACATTTCTTTGCCGTTGTTGCACGACTACGACGTGAAACTGCCCAATTTCACGTTTTATTGAGGACGTGAACACAATACAACAATTTTTTTTCCTGTCACACTCAAAACATTTTGTTTAAATTAATTTATTGTGTGAAGTAGTAATGGCCAGATGCCTCCTGCATTACTAGATTTGTCGCTAGACACAGAACTGTCATTAAGAGATGAAGACCGGAGATTTTCCCTGGCTACCATGAACGTGACCTCCGGCTTCTTTCGTAGGAAACAGAAAGAAAATATAACCAAAAGAAATTCCTAGCAGTTTGATTCCCCGCCTACTCTTAATGTATTTGCCCGGTAACTTGAAATCTTAATGACATCCCTACTAGATAGTATAGGATAAATTATTATCATTGATAATATTTGTGAGGAGAGAACATGATAACCCTAAAAGTTCATTTAAGGTAGAGAAGGAGGTATGAAATGTGAGGTGTGTGTGTGTGTGTGTGTGTGTGTGTGGGGGGGGGGGGGTTTTTTGGTTAGGGGGTTGGGGGTTTAAAAAAACTGGGGGGTATGAATAAAAAACCAAGGCCTGGATAATAACTGCTGGTGGGGTCGCTTTGCAGTGATAATAGTCCCCAGGTAAGGCAAAACAAAACAACCATGTTGGGGGGGGGGGGGGGGGGGGGGGGGATTTTGTGTATGTGCTTGGGGTCTTGAAAAATCCGTGTGGTATGCCTATAGAACCAAGGTCCTGATTAATGAGCCGGGCTGGCTCGCTTTGCAGAGATCCTTGTCCCTAGGTTAAGCACAACAAAATCAACTTTGCGATTATATGACAACCGAGCCAGCCCGGTTAGCTGGGATCCCGGCTGGAAATTTTGCATGTAATCATCACGCTTGCCATTGTTTCCCCGGCTCATGTGACCAGGCCCTTACTGTGAGTTCTATTTGGAATTTGCCGCTTTCGTGGTTCCTGTATGAGAGAATACGACTTATCTAATTAACCCAAGGGTTTTAAAATAGAAGGCGGTTTGCACGTGAAGATGTTGGACTCTGCCTCTTTTATGGTTCGACCGTGAAAGAATGACGAGGTCATTTTGCTCAATCACCCCGCGCGCGATTTTAAGAAATCACCTCCTTTCCGAAAATATGCAATAAAATTATGCATCATTCACTATTACCATCTTGTGCACAGGAATCTTGCGTGAGATACTCTTTGGTTATCGACAACTGAGGGCCTGTATACATGGAGGTGGGTACCACTGGTAGGTGAGGTAACCCGCTTAGGTGGGGTAACCCGCCTGTCCACATAATCTCTCATTTTAATCTGATCACGTTTACATGATAGGTGGGTTGACCCGCCAAATGTTACCGCACCTACCCGTGTTCCCTCATCTCTATGTAAACAGGCCCTGAGAGCAATATTGTCAAACTCTTGACAATAAGCCAAACCATTCACACCCTGTGCTGCGAGGACGGTTATTTTCCAAAGGGGAAATTTAAATTATTCCTTGCGCCAAGCGAAGTGAGGTTTATAATCTCGTCGCGCGCGCGTTTTGCTCGGAGGTGAGTTTATACTGTATCGTTGGGCATCTGTTCTTTAAATGCGATGAAATGCGTTTACGCAGGTATCCAACGTCAAAACAGCAGTCATTTTCCTGAAGCTGGCCGGAAAATTCTAGGGAAAAGGCTCTTAATAAAATATTTTAAAAAATGTCGGAATGTGTTTCACGTGGCGTAGTAACAACGAAACGGCCTGGAGTGCGGAAGGTCCCGATTTCGATTCCAGGTAGAACCTGTTTTTTTCATCTCTTCTTTTCATTATTTTTTCTTTTCCCTTACGTTTAGTCTTCATTTTAGTTATTGTAGTTTTCTTTTATTCCTTTATATAGCTTATGTTTTTTTAGATTTATAAATTTTCTTCCATATTGCTTTACTTCCCTTTCAACTTCTTGCTGTTCTCCCGAAGTCCTTCTCGAGCTCCTGTGATTCACGTATTTCTAGTTGAATGGTTTGTTTCACTCAGTGTACCGTGTTTTTTTCCAAAAAGTTTGTTTTCTATTGCCGATTTGTTGCCGTGTCTTATCTGTGGGTCGTATGCAACGGAGATAAATTCTGTGATGTGACACAACGCGCGGCAGACATTCGCGTCGCTTGGCTTGTTTACGTTCGCACGTACTGCCTGCTTATTGCAACTTTGAATCAAAACAATCGATTCTGGCGACACCCAAATAATAAAATACGGCAACTAATCTCACTGAAAATGGAGGATTAGAGTTCAAAGAGGTAACAAAAAGATTCAAGCAGAAGAAAATTGCGTTATGTTTGCGCGCTTTGGGAAATAGGGACTTTAAGATCCAACGACGCGGACGACAAAGAAAACGTCAAAAAAACAGTAGGTTTAATGAGCAAAACAACAACTTCGCACGTGCATCACACTTTGTTTGTACATTTCTTTCCCGTTTTTACGCGACTACGACGTGAAAATGCCTAATTTCGCGTTTTATAGAGGACGTAAAAAGCAACGACGAAATTTTATTTCTCTTTCCGAGCTTGAATGTGGTCCCTTGAAATTCAGTTTCGGGAGGGTTCGCCTACATTTGACAAAGTAAGTGGTTAGGAATAATCGGTATAAAGACTGAAAGAACGCGAATTCACTTTTTAAGCGACGTTCTTGTCGCCGTCGCGTCGTTGGATCTTAAAGTTTCTAATTACTTCGTGGCAACAACGCAAAAAGGATTCATTTACCAAATATGGCAGCCCCTGCCAAATTTGGATATATTGTTTACTGGGACACCAATGATCGGAAAGAACGCAGATAACCAAGGCATTAAGCATCCCATAATAACTCTTATAGCGTGGTTTTCTTTCACCGGGAACAGTCTTCACCGGGAAGCAACGAAAATGTCGTCGTGTTCAAGACCAAAGAACTGCTCACTTTACGTGAGAAACTTACCTCGCGAGACAAGGTTAGACCAGTTAAAGCATTTTTATTTAGTTTTTGCTCACTTTTTTTCTAATTTAAGACCTGACTTTTCTTGTTAGATCAGAAGATCTTGAACGCCTCTTCTCCCAATATGGCCGCGTTACCGACGTGCACATTCCGTTGGACCACTACACAGGAGAACCCCGAGACTTTGCTTATGTACAATATCCTTTTTTCTTTCTCAAGAGCCTTATTTTGTCTTTGGTTTCTTTTAGTCTGAGTTTGTAAAGGTTTGGCACTAAAATGACTTTCTTGTCCTTTGATAACCCGGGCAAAAGAGTCGGTAAAAGAGCTAAAGTAACAAGAAAACTTCAGGCAAATCTGTAAAAATTTTAAAGCCCGATTTAGCCCAACGTGGAAACGAAAGTTCGTAAACGCAAAGCTTCACTAAAAAGATAGGAATGCTCATAAAGGAAAGGCGTCGATTCAGCGAATGAGTTTAAAGATTTGAATTGTCAAGCTGCCTACGTTTTACAGAGTGGCTAGAGTGTCTGCACGTGGGACAGTGATGTGTAAAACGGCGCGTAATGCTGTAAAATTGAGGTATGGGGAATTTCGTGAGCAGTGTTTCGATAACTGCGGTGAAAAGGTTGACGTCTGTAAATAGTGTATATAGTGTAAATAATTATTGCAGAGTTCAACTTTTTCGACGGTGTCCGTTCCAAAGAGCAAAGTTATCACCTGTGCTCGGATGGAATCCGGTCGTTTCGCCTACGGTCTGTTCGCCTACGACTAGAGTCGATTCGCCTACGTCTTGTATGTCAGTTCGCTTACGATTCATATGTTGAAGCTTTAAATCTGAATTATTAAAAGTCCTTGTTCCTTGTAGCCTAACACGAAAACACAGCAAGTCGATACATTCTATCCTCGATGTCAAGAAAAACGACGCGCTAACACATCTAAGTTGGATTGTTTTTAAAAACTTTATCATGGCGGAACCCGGTCGTCTATGAATAGAATGTGTAAAAGATGTTTTGCTTAAAATGATTTGAGAAACGTGCGATTTAAGAAACGTGTGAGCAGCGCACTAAAGAAACCACTGTTTACGGTATTT